TCATAGAAGTAGTTAGTTCAGTAGTGGTAATATATAAAAGAAGGATTTTGTGTAAGGATATAATACAGGAAGAAAGAATCAGTTCGTAGAAGGAAAGATACAATGCAATTTTAATCCCATAGTTTTAGGTAAGACAGAGTGTATACACGTACACCATTGTGATCGATTCTGAGCCATGTCATCCACAGTCTCCAACCATTGGTTACGATAGTCACGCGGACCACAACCAATTAGTATGCATCTAACAACATAGCTCAGACCAGAAGTTAGTGACTGTGTGGACTGATGCCAGGTTTTGGTTTGGTCGCCCCTTACTTTCTTTCAGTCATTCTCAACACTAGTCAGCATTGCGCGTCATGATAATCGGTGTTCAGACATATGTCACACGTGGTCCAACCATCTCAGTCGATGAAGATCCATCAAGTGATCCACCATCATTCCCTTAAACCCTGTGTCTGACCTCACTATTACTTACCCGGTGATCCCAGCAGATGCGAGCGATGTTTCTAAAACATCTGTGATTAAATACTAGTAGCTTACGAGTATTTTCTACCCTTAGTGGTTATGTTTCGCAGAATTCTTAAACCACCCTTTTACTCATACATTTCCACTCACTTGATTCTCTTAAATTATGTGAACTCTTCAAATTCTATTCAATTATTACGTAACCCATCTTATCAGTTTTCAATTCCATGAATCCTTTATTACCTCTAAAATTATCACACAATTTATCTTATCTGTCTCTGAACTCCTAGTGGTTCCTTGATTTTAACACCAAGTAACCTCTTTCTTGTTCTTGCATATATATACATACATACATACATATAAATTCACTTGATTTTGATTTTATTTGTATCTTCCCATTGATGTTTAGGACTGCATGTGGTCAGTTTGATGTAGGCATATGTGCATCCTGTGCGGATTGCTTCGATATTGCCTTCAGTCACAAGCTTTTAAGCAAAGATGGATAGGGGCTAGCAGTGGAACCGTATTTGACGCGTGTTTCGTCCTATTTGCGACTCATCAGTTAGATGAACCTGCATCCCAGAGTTGATATTCACTCCGATATAGGAAACCTTTGTCATTCCAACTCTTTACATTCACTTATGTCAATCGTTCCATACTATTTCTTATCTCAATGTGAAATTCTAATACATATCAGTGGTCGCAAGCAGCTGATGAGAAACCACAAAATATAATGAATGAATATTATTCTGCATCAGTATTTATTCTGGCTTTATTTACATTCAGTTATCCCCATTTGTGTTCTTGTTTACTACAGATAGTAACTACAATCCAATTTAAAGGATGTAGCATGTCATTTTTTTCTTAGAAAATTATATATGCTACATTTTATACATCAATAATTCATCGATATTTCATCAACTAGAACTAATCGCATGGATTAAGTTCACTACTACTACTACTACTACTACTACTACTACTACTACTACTACTACTACTACTACTACTACTACTACTACTACTACTACTACTACTACTACTACTACTACTACTACTACTACTACTACTACTACTACTACTACTACTACTACTACTACTACTACTACTACTACTACTACTACTACTACTACTACTACTACTACTACTACTACTACTACTACTACTACTACTACTACTACTACTACTACTACTACTACTACTACTACTACTACTACTACTACTACTACTACTACTACTACTACTACTACTACTACTACTACTACTACTACTACTACTACTACTACTACTACTACTACTACTACTACTACTACTACTACTACTACTACTACTACTACTACTACTACTACTACTACTACTACTACTACTACTACTACTACTACTACTACTACTACTACTACTACTACTACTACTACTACTACTACTACTACTACTACTACTACTACTACTACTACTACTACTACTACTACTACTACTACTACTACTACTACTACTACTACTACTACTACTACTACTACTACTACTACTACTACCACTACTACTACTACTACTACTACTACTACTACTACTACTACTACTACTACTACTACTACTACTACTACTACTACTACTACTACTACTACTACTACTACTACTACTACTACTACTACTACTACTACTACTACTACTACTACTACTACTACTACTACTACTACTACTACTACTACTACTACTACTACTACTACTACTACTACTACTACTACTACTACTACTACTACTACTACCACTACTACTACTACTACTACTACTACTACCACTACTACTACTACTACTACTACTACTACCACTACTACTACTACTACTACTACTACTACTACTACTACCACTACTACTACTACTACTACTACTACTACTACTACCACTACTACCACTACTACTACTACTACTACTACTACTACCACTACTACTACTACTACTACTACTACTACTAATAATAATAATAATAATAATAACGATAATGTTATTATTATTATGTACAACATTTAAATCCATATGATATTAATATTACTACTTATGTGTTAATGTGTCTGGTATTGATTGCTGCCTTATTGTTCTTCTTTTCTTGAATCTTATCCAGTGTATCAATAGTGATCCATTCGATGTGATAGTGCATTTTGTGATCCAGAACCTCATGACATGTTGAAATGACGCATACATTTAGATCACATTATTATTATTATTATTATTATTATTATTATTATTATTATTATTATTATTATTATTATTATTATTATTAATATTATTACTATCATCATAATATACAACATTTAAATCCATATTATTGTTTATGTGTCTTATTCTTTAAATCTTATTCACTATGGTAATAGAAATGAGTAATTAGGAATGTAGAATAATATGGAATTTTTCTAATGTTTTCTACTGAAATGGATATTTATGTTTGATATTGTAAAGTTTTATTCAACTATTTCATAATTAAATCAAATGACTGATTTTGTAAAATTTTAAAGTGAAGTCATTTCATTTGTATGATGTTATATCCTGAAGAGAATATTGAATGGTAACTGTCGGAATCCATTGATGAATCATTATGATACATATAGATGTATTGTACGATTGTTAAGTAGCTAAACTATGCATATTCATCTTCATCTTATGATAAGCTTCATTTTAATCTACAGACTATTATTATATGATTTACTGTTCTTGAGTTATGCCCAGTCTATTAATATAAAGTCTCCCATATTCATAGCCACTTTTGAATAGAACTTGTACAAATGTTATTTTCTATTTTATGGTACAATATGGCCTGCTTGGTTTGTATATAAATCTAGTATGTTTGCAAAGATACTTCACATTCTCGTTAGCGAGATTTCGGATGAAGAACAAGTACCAAGAGAAGGGCCAAAGAAAGGCGATCTAAGCAGGTATGATAACTACAGGGGAATCACTCTTCTCTCAGTACCGGGAAAAGTCTTCAACAGCGTATTGTTAAACAGGATGAAGGACTCCGTAGACACTTAACTTCGTGATCAACAAGCAGGATTCCGTAAGGATAGATCGTGTACAGACCAAATCGCAACTCTACAGATCATTGTGGAACAATCAGTTGAATGGAATTCATCACTCCACACCAACTTCATTGACTACGAAAAGGCATTTGATAGCGTGGATAGGACAACACTATGGAAACTTCTTCGACACTACGGCGTAACTGAGAAGATAGTCAATATCATACAGAACTCATATGATGGATTACACTGCAAAATCGTGCATGGAGGACAGTTGACAAAGTCGTTCGAAGTAAAGACCGGTGTCAGGCAAGGCTGCTTACTCTCACCCTTTCTCTTTCTCCTGGTGATCTACTGGATCATGAAGACGTCAACATCTGAAGGGAAGCACGGGATACAGTGGACATCTAGTATGCAGTTGGACGATCTAGACTTTGCAGATGATCTAACCCTCCTATCGCAATCGCAACAACAAATACAGAAGAAGACGACCAGTGTAGCAGCAGCCTCAGCAACAGTAGGTATCAACATACACAAAGGGAAATGCAAGATCCTCCGATGCGTGACAATGTGAACCAATAGAATCACAATTGATGGAGACGCTTTTGAGCATGTAAAAACCTTTACATATCTGGGCAGTATCACTGATGAGCATGGTGGATGTGATGCAGATGTGAACGCACGGATCGGAAAAGCAAGAGCCGCATTCCTACAATTGAAGAACATATGCAACTCAAAACAACTGTCTGTCAACCAAATTCAAAGTCACAATCTTGAATAACAACGTCAAGACAGTCCTACAAACCAAGCTGAAACATGAAGAACTAGTACAACCATCATCAAGAAGTTACAAGTATTTATAAATAGTTGTCTACGCAACATGCTCAACATCCATTGGCCGGATACCATCAGCAACAGCCTTTTGTGGGAGAGAACAAACCAGCTTCCAGTTGAAGAAGAAATTAGGAAAAGACGATGGAAATAGATAGAACATAAATTGAAGAAATAATCGAACTACATCACGAGATAAGCCCTAACTTGAAATCCTGAATGGAAACGGAAAAGTGAAAGGCTAAAGAACACATTACGTGGGATAATGGAAGCAGATATGGAAAGGATGAGTAGTAACCGGAAACAGCTGGAAAGGTTTGCCCAGGACAGGGTTGAATGGAGAATGCTGGTTAGCTGCCTATGCTCCTTCACAAGGAGTAACAGGCGTAAGTAAGTAATATATATATATATATATATATATATATATATATATATATATATATATATATATCAATATAGTTCTTATAATCTTAGTCTTCTTATTTATCAAAGAGACTAATTATTTTTACAATAATAAGCATTAAACAACTAAACTTTACAAAATCATATTGCTTTTCATTAATTCAGTAAGATCACACACACACACACACAAACCCCCGTTTTATTTGAAACAAAAATGATTGTCATGTTTTATATGTTCATTACTGTCTATTATACACACACAAAAAAAGGATAACTGATTATGAATGTATGAGAGTGTTACTTAAAAATTCTAACAACACTACTATAATTAGTAAATGATGATGATGATGATGATGATGATGATGATGATGATGATGATGATGATGATGATGATGATGATGATGATGATGATGATGATGATGATGATGATGATGATGATGATGATGATGATGATGATGATGATGATGATGATGATGATGATGATGATGATGATGATGATGATGATGATGATGATGATGATGATGATGATGATGATGATGATGATGATGATGATGATGATGATGATGATGATGATGATGATGATGATGATGATGATGATGATGATGATGATGATGATGATGATGATGATGATGATGATGATGATGATGATGATGATGATGATGATGATGATGATGATGATGATGATGATGATGATGATGATGATGATGATGATGATGATGATGATGATGATGATGATGATGATGATGATGATGATGATGATGATGATGATGATGATGATGATGATGATGATGATGATGATGATGATGATGATGATGATGATGATGATGATGATGATGATGATGATGATGATGATGATGATGATGATGATGATGATGATGATGATGATGATGATGATGATGATGATGATGATGATGATGATGATGATGATGATGATGATGATGATGATGATGATGATGATGATGATGATGATGATGATGATGATGATGATGATGATGATGATGATGATGATGATGATGATGATGATGATGATGATGATGATGATGATGATGATGATGATGATGATGATGATGATGATGATGATGATGATGATGATGATGATGATGATGATGATGATGATGATGATGATGATGATGATGATGATGATGATGATGATGATGATGATGATGATGATGATGATGATGATGATGATGATGATGATGATGATGATGATGATGATGATGATGATGATGATGATGATGATGATGATGATGATGATGATGATGATGATGATGATGATGATGATGATGATGATGATGATGATGATGATGATGATGATGATGATGATGATGATGATGATGATGATGATGATGATGATGATGATGATGATGATGATGATGATGATGATGATGATGATGATGATGATGATGATGATGATGATGATGATGATGATGATGATGATGATGATGATGATGATGATGATGATGATGATGATGATGATGATGATGATGATGATGATGATGATGATGATGATGATGATGATGATGATGATGATGATGATGATGATGATGATGATGATGATGATGATGATGATGATGATGATGATGATGATGATGATGATGATGATGATGATGATGATGATGATGATGATGATGATGATGATGATGATGATGATGATGATGATGATGATGATGATGATGATGATGATGATGATGATGATGATGATGATGATGATGATGATGATGATGATGATGATGATGATGATGATGATGATGATGATGATGATGATGATGATGATGATGATGATGATGATGATGATGATGATGATGATGATGATGATGATGATGATGATGATGATGATGATGATGATGATGATGATGATGATGATGATGATGATGATGATGATGATGATGATGATGATGATGATGATGATGATGATGATGATGATGATGATGATGATGATGATGATGATGATGATGATGATGATGATGATGATGATGATGATGATGATGATGATGATGATGATGATGATGATGATGATGATGATGATGATGATGATGATGATGATGATGATGATGATGATGATGATGATGATGATGATGATGATGATGATGATGATGATGATGATGATGATGATGATGATGATGATGATGATGATGATGATGATGATGATGATGATGATGATGATGATGATGATGATGATGATGATGATGATGATGATGATGATGATGATGATGATGATGATGATGATGATGATGATGATGATGATGATGATGATGATGATGATGATGATGATGATGATGATGATGATGATGATGATGATGATGATGATGATGATGATGATGATGATGATGATGATGATGATGATGATGATGATGATGATGATGATGATGATGATGATGATGATGATGATGATGATGATGATGATGATGATGATGATGATGATGATGATGATGATGATGATGATGATGATGATGATGATGATGATGATGATGATGATGATGATGATGATGATGATGATGATGATGATGATGATGATGATGATGATGATGATGATGATGATGATGATGATGATGATGATGATGATGATGATGATGATGATGATGATGATGATGATGATGATGATGATGATGATGATGATGATGATGATGATGATGATGATGATGATGATGATGATGATGATGATGATGATGATGATGATGATGATGATGATGATGATGATGATGATGATGATGATGATGATGATGATGATGATGATGATGATGATGATGATGATGATGATGATGATGATGATGATGATGATGATGATGATGATGATGATGATGATGATGATGATGATGATGATGATGATGATGATGATGATGATGATGATGATGATGATGATGATGATGATGATGATGATGATGATGATGATGATGATGATGATGATGATGATGATGATGATGATGATGATGATGATGATGATGATGATGATGATGATGATGATGATGATGATGATGATGATGATGATGATGATGATGATGATGATGATGATGATGATGATGATGATGATGATGATGATGATGATGATGATGATGATGATGATGATGATGATGATGATGATGATGATGATGATGATGATGATGATGATGATGATGATGATGATGATGATGATGATGATGATGATGATGATGATGATGATGATGATGATGATGATGATGATGATGATGATGATGATGATGATGATGATGATGATGATGATGATGATGATGATGATGATGATGATGATGATGATGATGATGATGATGATGATGATGATGATGATGATGATGATGATGATGATGATGATGATGATGATGATGATGATGATGATGATGATGATGATGATGATGATGATGATGATGATGATGATGATGATGATGATGATGATGATGATGATGATGATGATGATGATGATGATGATGATGATGATGATGATGATGATGATGATGATGATGATGATGATGATGATGATGATGATGATGATGATGATGATGATGATGATGATGATGATGATGATGATGATGATGATGATGATGATGATGATGATGATGATGATGATGATGATGATGATGATGATGATGATGATGATGATGATGATGATGATGATGATGATGATGATGATGATGATGATGATGATGATGATGATGATGATGATGATGATGATGATGATGATGATGATGATGATGATGATGATGATGATGATGATGATGATGATGATGATGATGATGATGATGATGATGATGATGATGATGATGATGATGATGATGATGATGATGATGATGATGATGATGATGATGATGATGATGATGATGATGATGATGATGATGATGATGATGATGATGATGATGATGATGATGATGATGATGATGATGATGATGATGATGATGATGATGATGATGATGATGATGATGATGATGATGATGATGATGATGATGATGATGATGATGATGATGATGATGATGATGATGATGATGATGATGATGATGATGATGATGATGATGATGATGATGATGATGATGATGATGATGATGATGATGATGATGATGATGATGATGATGATGATGATGATGATGATGATGATGATGATGATGATGATGATGATGATGATGATGATGATGATGATGATGATGATGATGATGATGATGATGATGATGATGATGATGATGATGATGATGATGATGATGATGATGATGATGATGATGATGATGATGATGATGATGATGATGATGATGATGATGATGATGATGATGATGATGATGATGATGATGATGATGATGATGATGATGATGATGATGATGATGATGATGATGATGATGATGATGATGATGATGATGATGATGATGATGATGATGATGATGATGATGATGATGATGATGATGATGATGATGATGATGATGATGATGATGATGATGATGATGATGATGATGATGATGATGATGATGATGATGATGATGATGATGATGATGATGATGATGATGATGATGATGATGATGATGATGATGATGATGATGATGATGATGATGATGATGATGATGATGATGATGATGATGATGATGATGATGATGATGATGATGATGATGATGATGATGATGATGATGATGATGATGATGATGATGATGATGATGATGATGATGATGATGATGATGATGATGATGATGATGATGATGATGATGATGATGATGATGATGATGATGATGATGATGATGATGATGATGATGATGATGATGATGATGATGATGATGATGATGATGATGATGATGATGATGATGATGATGATGATGATGATGATGATGATGATGATGATGATGATGATGATGATGATGTAAACATAGTTACTACTTCAAGCAGAAATGTAAAATGAAAAAAAAATCGATTTTGTGGTACTGTATATTATAGATTGTTTATCTTTTGATTTATTTATGATTTGATAGTGTTATATTCCGATAAGCCTAATGAATGGTAACTTTTGGGATCCATTTATGGACCAATATTATGAGTATGTTATTGTCGTATAATTGTTATGTAACTAAACTGCTCATATTTCATATCCCTCTTATTATGAGTTTTATTTCGACCTATGAACTATTATTATATGGTTTACTATTCTTGAGTTATGGCCTGTCTATTAATTACTATCTCCCTCATTCACAGCCACATTTGGCTAATTCTTGTACAAATGTTGTTTCCTATTTTATGGTACGGTGTGGTCTGTTTGGTTGTATATAAACTCAGTACGTTTTAAATAAATGATTCATATTGCGGAGGCTGACATTGGTGTTCTGGAATCAACAGGCAGGGCTAAGCTAGAAGATGGACCGATAGAGACGCTAGACTGCTCATACGGGTTTTAGGCGTCATAGATCCGATCGATAATTCGCTCCTCTGTGATTGGCGGTATCGTTACGTTATACATTAACAAGGCACACT